TTGCTTCATAAGAAAAATTCACCGAGGTATTTTGTTTTTGTAAATTACATCAACTTAAGAAAGAACAAAATGGCCAGATGTAATAGTATATACTAGCATTTGGGAGATGGTGGAAGGGGGATTAGAAATTCAAGACTACCCTTGGCTGCATAATAAGTTTAAGACCCTGCCTTAAAATTTAAATTAATAAATATGTTACAAAAGATAAGCTCAAGAATAGATTTTCTGTTTGAAAATTGATCTTTGGCTCTAGGATAAGAATTACTGTAGGAATGTAGAAGTTGCTAGAAGTGATTTAAGCAAATGTTAAAAAAGAAAAACCAACAAATTGAGATATGAAAAATATCAACCAAACCAAATAAGCATATAAGCAGTCAACTTCAAATGAATTCTGCTGCTCATTTTTAATATAACTTCACTTCCATCCATGTTCTCATTGAAGCTTCAACTTGTAGTACTCCCATATTTTAAAAACTATTTAGTATGTTTCCCTCTCTTAGCAATAGCCTCTAGGTTTGCAGGTCCACCCCACAGTGTTCCTAAAACATCTCTTTCATTCTGTAATGCTTCCTCTAAATACAGCTCTCTTCCTGAACAAACGGATTTTTTTAAACCTCTAATGACTTCTGGAGGCCCACTGACAAATTGCTCTAGCCATTCTTGTGCCTCTTCTAGAGCCTTAGCTTCATCTGAAGACTGTAAGACCTCATCAACAAAGCCCATGTTTAAAGCTTTCTTGGAATCCAGTTTGAGGGTCCCACTTAACACTTTGAGAGCTTGTCTGCTGCCAATGATTTCAACCAGCCGGCTGGCACCACCCCAGCTTGGAACTATGCCCATCTCCTTGTGGACAAATCTGATCACACTCTCCATAGTCATTAACCTGTAAAAACAGAGAGGAAACTCTGTAAGTACATGTATATACTATAACTGTAAAGTAGTAAATGCTCCTGGGCTAACAAAATTAATTGGTTTAGGCAGACATAGAAACAATGTTGCAGAATGTTCCCAACTAGAATTTAATTCACCACATACTATTTATTCAACAAACAATTGCTTTTGAAAATAACATTTTGTTTTAGCTTTTCCAAACTTTGAAACTGAGAAGCCAGCCTTCAAAAATAAAAAGAACTTCATGTTAACAAATTCTTGAGAGTAACAGACAAATACTCTCATTTTATGGTTGAATAACCATACAATGGAATCGCCAGGACTTGACCCCAGATAGTTGACCTCAGTGTCTCACAGGAGCAGGAAGAGTAGTAAGGAAGATGGCAGTGGCTTGGATTGGACTGACTGACAGCAGTAAGTATATCCCCAAGTAGTGTTTTTATGATCAGGGTAATTCATAGACTAATCAACGGAATCGGTGGGTATAAAAAAGCTTTGCACCTTCTAGTTGCATACTATAAAGTTCTACAGTTTTTAGGAAGTGTTGCCTGTGTACGTTCTTGTTGCATGTATCAACAGAAGACTTAGTAATATTAAAACCTAATTTGACCTAAATAAATTTCAAATTGCAATTTATATTTTTCCTTAGGAATAACCATTTTCAAAACTATTCACTATAAGAAAGAATAGCTGAAGTGATTTGTCTTCCCAGCACACTGTATGTCCAACTGTAGATGACTTAGTTCTCTTAGTATCAAGTTTCTCAGACTGCAGCCTGACCTTTAATCATGAAACACTGCAGAGAATTTTTGAAAACCCCTACTAACCCACTGGGAAACTTTCTCCCCAGAGAGATGAATTCCCACCAAGAGTATGTTACAACGATGAACAATACTATAGAAATGGCTTCAATAAACAGCTTTTAAATGCGTATGAGGCAGAGCAAGTCTAATTCTTAGAAGAATCTAATCTAACTCCACAACAGGAACCTGTCAAAAATTTGGGAAGGAATTAAACTTGCAAAATATAATATCTAATAGTTGTGGAAATAGAAATGATTGTTACTTTTGAGTCCAGTCTCAGAAAAACTTAATATACCAGTTTTTAAAACAAATTCTGGAATTGGCATGTGTTGGTGTAGCCATTAGCACAGCTGAGAAAGTGATGATGTCAAGAATAAACTCATTTAGAACTGAACATAAATTAGTGAGACACTAGATGTCATTATGAGGTAGAGGATGCTGTACAAGTTATTACAGTGGCCATCCATGAGTTGTTATAAACTAGGCAACCATCCTTATATATGTTTTGTCTCCTCGTTGAAAGATCAGTTATGTCATTTTTCATGTACATGTGTGGGCACACATTCCATGGCATATGTATGGAGGTTACCTGGTTCTCTCTTTTGTATCATGTGAGTATTGGGGATAGGATTGGGATGGGTTACCAGACTTGGTAGGAAGTACCTTTACCCACCCAGCCTTACTGTCCCATGGATGCCCACTTAAATCCTATTTTACAACTAACAAATCCTCAAGTAATCTTTGTAAAAGCATGCATTATAATCTGACATATATATTCTTCATAAATTACATAGCTAGTAATATAATGTATTGACATACCTTTTAGTATGCATTAAGCATAATTTTAAAATTCCATTGGTCACAAGAAAACAAGGTATTTCTTACAGTTAGAGACATACAAAGCTCTCAGGAAACATTTCACAAGATCCTTCATTAGTCTCACAGAGTTAAACTTTAAATTTTCAAGTGTTGGAAAATATAATTCAAAAAGAAATGACTCAATAAGATATATCTCAAAATGAGAACTGCTTCTTCATTATCTGCCAGGATTAAACAGTAATTCTAGAGTTACTTAGTATCACCTGGAATGCTTATTGCAAGGAGAATCTAAGAACCTATATAGAAGACTTAGCCCTTATAATTATAAAGTCATCATATTCGATTTATAAAGCTATTAAATTCCCTAACTTTGATATAAAAGAGCTCTAAGTGCATCTGACATAATGGTGAGGAAGAGATGAAATTCATGAGATGTTGGTATGTGTCTTACTATTTGGATGGATATATCACAGGAGAAAACTACCCACAACCGGGCAAAGACTATTAGTGTGTGTGTATGTACACACACCCACCATAGCACACATACACAGGTCTCCAGATAGTTTATGTGAGGCAGTTCTCCCTTCCCTCATGTGGGACCCAGGGGTTGAATTCAGGTACTTTTCCCTGCTGAGCCATCTCTGTGGCCTGACTGTTACTTTTGACAGGGATGCTGGATCCGCTGCTGAGTGCAGACAAGGCTACTCTATCATGCTACTGCCTTCTGATGAGGGAACCCTAGTTCAAGGTTAGCAAACAGATCCAAGAACATTTTTAAATGAACTGAAACTTTGCTAAACAGGAAGTTTTTTTATATATATATAAAATGTACAAAAGAAAGCTGGAGTTTAGAAAGGTATGTATAGTAACCTGTAACAAAATATGTATTGAAATGGAAGACCACAGAGCTCTTCTATACAGTACGTGGAGCCACCCCCAGACCATGTGGCTGGAAATCCTAACATGTCCTCTCTAGTGTGACTATTCTCCAGGTTCTTCATGTGGGCACTTAGTACCATGAATTTTCCTCTTAGCACTGCTTTCAAAGATTCCCATAAGTTTGGGTATGTTGTGCCTTCATTTTCATTGAATTCTAGGAAGTCTTTAATTTCTGTTTTTATTTTTTCTTTGACCCAGGAGTGATGTAATTGAGTACTGTTCAATTTCCATTGGCTTTCTGCAATTTGTGTTGTTGTTGAATTCTAACTTTAAACCACGGTGATATAAGATACAAGGGATTATTCCTTTTTTTTTTTTTTTTTTTTTTTTTTTGTTGAGGTCTGCTTTGTTGCTGAGTATGTGGTCAATTTTAGAGATGGTCCCATGTGGCGCTGAGAAGAAGATGGAATGTTCTATAGATGTCTGTTAAACCCAATTGAGTCATAACTTCTGTTAGTTCTTTTATTTCTTTGTTAAGTTGCTGTCTGGTAGTTCTAGAACACCTATAAATCCTTAACTTGTGCTCTTAAGGAAGAATATTAAGTATATCAGTACCTGTTTGCATATAGCATAGAATTCTTTGAATATATTTTATATCTATATAATTACATACTATACTCTGTACTTGTACTTCTGGCTAAAATAAAGAAAACAAGCATTTATCAGCTTATACAGAAAGCTTTCCTATTTAGTCTCACATCATCCACAAAGCCAGTGTGACAGCTCCCTCAAAGAAAACCAAGCAGCAACCTAATGCAGTCTGAAGTCCTGACAGCAGAGGGTGCTATGACAGATTTACTTATTTATTTATTTTTTTCTTCATTGTATCCATGAATCCACTCACTTATACTGGTTTTCAAAGAGGTTGAGATCTTGGTAAATTGTCTCCTACATCAAAACAATTCTAAAGTTTCTGAGTAATAAACAAAACTTAACTAAAACAAGTCCTTAATTATCAAATAAAAAGCAAAATTTTCTTATTCAAGAGTTTACTGAATTTTCTCTCACATTGTTTCTATTATTCTATTATATAAGAAGTAAAAATGGGAACACATTTATTACAGAACATTTAGTTTACAAGATTGGAAGTCAGGAAAAGCATTATGATAATATTCAGTGTATTAAGTCAATCCTGCATGGGAGTGAGAGGTTGTGATGAGAGGGCAAGTAGGGGAATCCAAAGATGTTGCCAGGCACCTACTTTTGATTGAGTCATGGTTTCCCAGATTCTGATTTTGTAACAGTCAGGAAACGGAACATTTATGTCTCATATACTTAGAACCAAAATCTCAGACTGCCTTTTCAAAACTTAGTTTCTAAGCTGTCAAATAATACACAACAAAATAAACAATGCCACAAAAATTCCTTGTTAGGGACATTTTCATCTTCATTTATTATGTTAAAAAATACTTTACAAAACTCCATAAAATGACTGTGTGGAATTTGTGATAGTTACTTTTCTCGCTGCAATGTCAAAATTCCTGACAAACATGTTAAGGAAGACTTTATTCCAGCTCACAGTATACAAGGGTGCATGCCATCGTGACAAGGAAGGTCTGGCATTGTTAATGGGAGGGTGGGGCATTCCATCCTGGTGAGGAAGGTAAGGCATCAGGAACTGGAGGGCAGCTCTGCACACTGCATGCACACTTAGGAAATAGAAAGCTATGTGTCCTGGTGCATTCCCTTTTTAATATAGTCCAGAGCCCCAGCCCATGAAATGGTGCTGCCCATAGTTCAGGTGGACCTTCCAACCCCAAGTAACCTAATGTAGGTAATCCCTCATGGATATGCCCAGTGATTTCTCTCTGAAATGATTCTAGATTCCGTCAAGTTGGCAATCAGTATAAACCAGAATAATACACCCAAATATTCTTTCTGATGAAAATATAATTAGCATGACAATTTACTTTCACTATGTGCATTTATTTAAAGGATAATTGACTAAAGCAAAAATATAGTAATTGTGCCATTATAATGCATAGAAACCAAATAAATATTAATATACCCAAAGAAGAGGACACAAGAAATAGATGTATAGTGTAATATCCTAACATCTTACATAAATTAGTTTATTATTTGATGGAAGGCTGTGACAACTTTAAGATGCATACTGTTAATTCAAAACTAGAAGAAACAAGTTTTTCTCTCTCTGTCTCTCCTCTCTCTCACTGTGTGTGTGTGTTGGGAGAGGGTCAGTAGAAGTAAAATGTTATCACACAATGTACAATGAGGCAAGAAAAGAAAGTAAGAGAACAAATAGAATCAGGTCATTAGAAAAAATATCAAGATGGTAGACTGAGAGGGCAGGAAAGATAGTTCAATGGTTACAAGCAGTTTCTCCTTTTGGAGAGGACCCAGGCTCAGTTCCCAGCACTGACATGATGGCTCATAATTACCAGTAACTCCAGGTCCAGGGGATCCAATACCCTCTTTTGCCCTCTTGAGAGCACCATGTGGTATATACATGTAGGCAAAACGCTAATGCATATAAAATAACTTTTTAAAAATATTGTAGACAGAAATGAAATCATATCAATAACGAATATAAAGTAGGACAAACTCACCAATTAAAAGGCAGGCATTGCAACAATGAGTGTGCCCTAATCTGGCCTGGTGTGTAGATCCCTAATCCTAGTTTCTTGAGAAACTGAGGCAGAAGTAGGAAAAACTTCAACACTTCCCTGGGTGTCCTGGTAAGACCCCATCTCAAAATTAAAAAAAAAAAAAAAAAAAAAAAAAAAAAAAAAAAAAAAAGATGTACCTCAATGGCAGGTGGATTTCCCAATGCATCTATGGATTCAGTACCTTGTACTACCGAAAAAGGAAAGTATGAACCTAATTCATGTGACCTACTATCGTCTATGTTCAGTTAAATAGCAGGTATACATAAAAGGACAGAAAAATTGACCAGAAAAAGGTAGGGGAGGCTATATCTACATCAGACAAAATAAATTCTTGGTTGGATCCCAGACCAGACCAAAGGATATTAAAATATTGAAAGAAAAAAAGTGAATGATATAGACCAGTTAAAAACACTTCATCTCTAAATCTCTTGATCTATAATTACAACCTGGCTCTCTGTTAATAGCATCCTAGGAGACTGGATAACAGGTTTCAGACATTAAAAATATTTCAAAATCAAAGCCTAAAATTACTTTAAAATCTAAAAATTTCTGCTCCTTAAAAAACAAGTATGGAGAGGTACAATCCTGTAACCCTAACATTCAGGAGGATGAGATGGCAGGAACCCCAATTCAGATGCACTTGCCTACATAGAAAGATCCTATCACAAATAACACAAAACCCAGTATTATGATGCTACTAGAAAATAAATAGCAAGACATGGACTGATGGCGAAGCAGAGGTTTCATATTTGGGACTCTATATACAATAGAGAACAGTGAAGAAAACAAGAAGTCTGAGGAAGTGAAGCAGGCCCTGGGAATCAAGGAAGAGGAATCAACAGCTAGTAAGCATGATGAAACAGAAGACAACTCAATAAAAGTAGCACAGAATCTGCATTTCATCCCTGGCAACATGAAGAGGAGGGAAAGTAGATACTATCTCTTACTTTGCTCAAAAATTAATTAAAGGTGGATCAAAGACCTTAACTGAAGACCCAAGACTTTGAAACTCCTAAGGGAAAACACTTTACCATACAGACACAGCCAATATGCTTCTGAATAGACCATCAGTGGTTTGGGAAATAGCAAAAATTGATGAATAGGACTACATTAAATATAAAAGCTCTATAACGCGAAGGATAAAGCCGTCATGATGAAAAAGCCCATAGAACAGAATACAATCTTCCCCAGATATTCGTCTGACAGGAGACTGGTGATACAAAACATACACAGAACTCAAAATTTTAATTCCTCAAATAACTCTACCAATAAATGAACAAAGCAAAACAAACAATTTTCAAAATAAGTGTAAATGGCCAATGAGCACATGAAAAACTAAGTTCAACATTCTTTACCTGCTAGAAAAATGCAAATCGAAACTACATGGAGATTCCATCTCATCCAAGTCTGAACAGCTATCAAGTCACAGGAAAAGAACAAATGCCAACAAGGATGCAGAAAAAAGAAACTGTCTACACCACTGGAGAGATCACAACTAGTACTTTGTTAATCCAAAGGTTCCTCCAGAAACTAAAAACAGATCTACCACACAATCCAGTTATATGCACCACTCCTGTGTATGTACCTTTTAGGATCCAAGTCAACTTACAGTAGAGACACCTGCATACCCATGTTTATTGTATATTCACAAGTATATAAGGAAAGTAAAAACGTTCCATGTCTTAACTTTGGTGGTTACATGGGATGATGCATCATCAAAACGCCTTTACATTGCACAATTAAAATGGGTGCTTCTGGCTACATATAATTTATATCTGAATATAAGATTATTTCAAAAACCTTTATAACAGATCAACATAACCTATTGGAGTATTCAGAATGCTATACTATCAGAAGGGCTATGTCCTTAGCTTCAGAAATCAGGACTCAAGTCAGATAAAGTGGCACACAGTGAAGATCAGTAGATGCGGGGCGAGCACTCGGGCTCCTTGGTGCCCTCCTGTTTTAGTGCCAGTTACAACACACACACCATTTCTGAGCACTTTAAAAGGATCAAGGGCATTTTTAAAATAAAGCACCCTCTCTTGCAAACACAGTTCTTTGCTATGACTCAAGGCTCCAGGGACTTCTCTAGGCTCTCAACACAGAACGGTTCAATGTGATTATTGTCTTACTCCATGTTTATGGATCTCAGGACAAGCACACAACAGAATACAGAGGTTTCCTCAGCGTGGTTCCTTGGGACAGTACTAAGAAGGCAGCTTCAAGCCTGTGGAAAGCATCAGATTTTCTAGCCTCTGCACCCACACAGCTACTCAAAGCTGGAAATCATTCTAAGGGGGAGGAACTACCAGCTCCCAGAATTTCCTGCAACTTTGTTCCTTCATTTATAAAGTTGCTATGAATCACAAATGGTGGAGACATGGATCTCAGAAAGAAACGGATCTCAGCAAATCTTTCTTGAGGACAGGCACGGGAAACTTTGGGTCCATTCTTTTCTTATGTTCTTGAGTTGTTAACTCCTTCTGAGTAATTGTCTTGGATTTTAGAGTTTCATATATTTCCTTGACTTTCCTTCTTAAGAATTTTGCTATTATGGAATTGATTTATTAAAAGTCACTGTCTTTTGTTGATTTTTAAAAATGCATTATAATTTAACAATAGTAACTGTATGAAACTAAAATTATTTTAATGACTGATAAAAAGACAATATTCTTTAATTAATTATCATGTTTAAGAATATATGAAATAGGCCAGGTGGTGGTGGCACACGCCTTTAATCCCAGCACTTGGGAGGCAGAGGCAGGCGGATCTCTATGAGTTCCAGACCAGCCTGGTCTAGAAGAGCTAGTTCCAGGACAGCCTCCAAAGCCACAGAGAAACCCTGCATCGAAACCTCCCACCGCCCCCAAAAAAAGAATATATGAAATATTGTGGCCCCCAGAATGATAGCTGGGGAACCAGCATAGGACAGAACCAGACCCCCTGATCATGGGTGTCAGTTAGGAGGCCTGGGCGATCTATGGGGCTCTGGTAGTGAATCAGTATTTATCCCTAGTAAATGAACGGACTTTGGGAGCCCATTCCACATAGAGGGATACTCTCTCAGCCTAGACACATGGGGGAGGGTCTAGGCCCTGCTCCAAATGATATGACAGACTTTAAAGATCCCCCATAGAAGGCCTCACTCTCCCTGGAGAGCAGAAAGGGAATGGGATAGGGGTTGATGGGGGGCAGGGGAGGAGAGAAGGGAGAGGGAGCTGGGATTGACATGTAAAACAAGCTTGTTTCTAATTTAAATTTAAAAAAAAAGAAAAAAAGAATATATGAAATACTGAAATTAAGGCAAAACTACATTCAAGCATGTGCTAATTGTGTTTATGTCTGCAGCAAATTTTACCTTACCTGAAATCACATGCTGTAGTAAATTCTGCTCCTCCACCCATTGCCCAGCCTTGAACCAGAGCAACGCTTATTAAAGGTAGTCTGTATATGGAAGAAAAATGGATGGCAATAACTAACTTTAGTATTCATTCATATGCACCATTTTAAGGTCTTCAACATTCTGCAGTTAATAACAAGAACCATGAAGGGTAGTGAATCCTTGCACCCTCAGAAGGAAGGTGGCATGAGGCCAAGCACACGGCAGCTCACCTACCTGACTCACTGCCTGCTTCACAGTAGTAGTATGTACTGGAACTGTCTTCTAAACACTGAGCCTATGATATACCTCCACAGCTGTCAATACAGCACACTCACTGTGAAACTGTCTGCTCTATAGTCAGGGTTGGGGATATTACAGTCATATCCCAAGAGATAACCTGATCTAAAACACAGACCTACAAAAGCAAGTATTTAAGAGTTCCACCAAAAGGCGTATCACTACTGCCTAAATGGCCATAAACTGCTCCTATATATAAATATTACTTAGTGCTAAAAGAAATCTTATTGTTTCTGTTTATAAAGAACCATGCATGGCAGATATTAGTAAACACCTTCAATCCCAGCAATTGAGAGGCAGGGACAAGTGGATGTCTTAGAATACAAGGTCAGCCTGGTCTAATTCCTGCACAGCCAGGGCTACATAGTGATAGCCTATCTTTAAAAAACTAATAATAAAATAAAAATAAATCCTGACACAACAGTGTGAGAATACTACAGGTAGTTCTAAATTTTTGTTTGTTTGTTTGTTTGTTTGAGACAGAGTTTCTCTGTGTAGCTTTGGAGCCTGTCCTGGAACTCACTCTTGTAGACCAGGCTGGTCTCCAACTCACAGAGATCTGCCTGCCTCTGCCTCCCAAGTGCTGGGATTAAAGGCGTGCGCCACCACCACCCAGTCCTCTAAAATGTTTTCAAAGTATACATTTTTTAAAGATTCTAACCAAAATGTAATGCTATTGGACTAAATATTTCCTAATAAGCCCTACTTCCACATAAAAAGGATTACTTAAACAAGAATAACTTTTAGCCAGATGTGGTGTTACATACCTATAATCTAGGCACTCAGAAGATGGAAGCAGGAGAATCAGGAGTTTAAGGCTGGCCTTCACTAATAGTAAGTGTGTGTGTGTGTGTGTGTGTGTGTGTGTGTGTGTGTGTGTGTGTCCAAACTGGGCTACATAATATTGTACCTCAAAAATAAATTAATTAATAAAAATTAAAAATAATAAAAATTGAGAGAAAGGGCTGATTAACCCTAGCCCTAACTGGCTCAGCTGTTTAGAGTGCTTGTAGCTTTTGCAGAGGACCCATGATCAATCCCCAGCATCCATATAGTAGCTAATATAGTAGTCTCTGAAGGCATTAGACACACATGTAGTGCACAATACAAACACCCAGACAAAACACCCAGACATATATAGTAAAATAATCTAAAATAAAAAAGTTTTAAACTAGAAAAAAAAAGTCAAGAACAATGTGGTAGAAGAAAGAGTGAGATAAGGCGATGGCATTTAAAACAGTAGTATTATTCTAGACTCTCAGATAAGTATTAAAAATACAGAAATGTATCACTAATAAGCATACTTAAATATGAATTTTCTTAGTTTTAATAACTTTAAACTGCCTATATTTAGATTAAAAAATCAAAAAGAGATTCAAAGTATGTCCAAATTTGTAATCTGAAATGCAGATTTTTTTTTCTCCCTTTTCCTTTATCTGGATGTAAAGTAAACCCATTCTTGTCAGAAAGCTATAAAAGTATTATCCAGTCCACAGTTCTCCCCACTTCTACCACTCTCCATCCTGGAGGAATCTCTGCAAGTCACCTCCTGATCAACATCCTTTCTCTGCCTGCTGTCAGTATTTGACTTTCACCATAGCTGTTCTTGTGGTAGCTGGTTATATGGGTGCTGTTTCTTAAATGGTTTTCCTCTTTCCCCTTCTTTATAAAACTGTTCACACCTCACTAACATTTCATTCTAATGACTGCCTCCTAGTATGGCATAAAGACATAGTCCATCATGACAACGGACACAGTTTGAAGCTTGTCTAACTTTTTTAAATATACAAATAATGGAATACTAATCCAGGTATTTTAAAAATCCTATTTTTAAAAGAAAGATACATTACCTCATAAATCTTGTTAAGGTGTTCTGCATGAACATAGATAAGGCCACCCCATTCTTTAAAGAAAAATAAGCATAAACACAAAAATTAGTATATTACATAAGAAATACTTTCAAAATTCAGATTTTGAAAAGAAACAAAGCCACATTTTTTGTTTTTTTTTTTTGAAAATGGCAGTTTTCATTTTGCACTTTGTGGGGCTGAACTGTAAATGGTGCTTTCTGTGCTACTCTCCCAGGGCTGGAGCTTAGCACTGCACAGGGTAGCCTGTATCACTCTCTTTCCTCAATCATGTGGTGAAAGTTCTAAAAACAAGGAAGGAAGAGAAGGGGAGGGGAGGCAGAGAGGCAGGGAGGGAGGCAGGGAGGGGATGGCAGCAGACCACAAGCAGCTGGGAATACTGCAGTCTCAGTCAGGAGGCAGAGGTGAACAATGCTGCTCAGCTTGCTTGCTCTTCATTCAGACCAGTACTCCAGCCTATGGAACAGTGTCACCCACACTAAGGGTGTTCTTCCCTTCTCAATAAACCTAATCTATCAAACCCCTCACATGAATGCCCAAATGCTTATTTCCATGGTGACTCTTCAATCCTATCAAGTTGACAACCAAGACTGACCATTCCAGCTTCCTAGTATAGAGTCGAGCACTAGTCACAGTAACCTGAGTCAGACTCTCCAACCTGCTTCCTCTAGGAAGCCATGTGTAAAGAAAAGTTATAATGAGCTCTGGGATTCTGTACTCTAAGGCTCAGATTCCTAGATTTTTCACAAACTACATATTTTCTCATAAGAGCCATACCTTCTTTAATCCAGTATAACCTGGCTTTCAGCCTTGTCCTAAAACATTTTAATACACTTTGCCAAATTAAACGACTTGGCTTTATTAAGTATCATCTTCTCTTCAACTTAACACGGTTCCTTCACTGTGGTCCTCTCTTTCTAGGAACCGTTTTCTGTTTGTCTGTTGCTTTGACTGTTCTCCAGTTTTCCCCTTTCACTCATCCCCTCAGCCATTCCCCTAAAGGCAAGGACTCTCCTAAACCCACCCCATAGCGCTTTCTCTCTCTCTTCATTTGTATTCTTTTCTTTGAAAGTTTAAACCACTTCCACTGTTGGTTTATGTGAAGCATCAGAACCTCAAACTCAGCACTACAAAACTTACAAGGAGTAAAGGGCAATTTGAGTTCTCATTCTACCACTTAGTAGCAGCATGCACTTGAGCAGACCATGACTATGAGCTCAGTTTTCTCATCCATAGAAATGGGGAATAAAACAGGAATCTGGTTGATTTACAGGATGGCAGGAAAGGTAGGAATCCGTATGTTCACACACACTGCTTAGCTACTAGAAAAGTCATAATAAGCAGCAGGCTCAGAATGCTGGTGTTATTACAATCTCTCTAGTTCACAGCATCCTCATCATTAGGTCCAGCATGTGTGCTCTCAATTCCTCCTCTGAAATATTTCCAAAATTTACTTTCTTTTTTCTATTTGTATTCCAACTGAACTAGTCTAGAACTAGTTCATCAACCTATGAACTAGTTCATGGGTTGATCAGAAAAAAAAAAAGCTCTAATTCCTAGCTAATATTTCTGTATTTAATTTCTTTTCCTTAGATATACTTTCCATCCTGCTGCTTAGTAACACTTCCTGTAGGATAGTGATTTCCTATCAGCCACAGAATAGTCTAAGATCTTGGACAAACAAATTCCACATAGTCCTAAAGTACCTTACTGGCATTATTATCTACAACCAAGAATCTCAATTTCAGCTGTAAAATATCTGGCAATCCTCTAAATACCAAATGCCCCAGTATCATATTACATATTATATATAACATATAACACACACAAACACACACACACACACACACACACACACACACAAATGCACACATTCTGTGTTTTGCTCACACTAGTCCATCATTTCCATAGTTGTGGTAGCTTGTTCTTGTTCTATTTTAAGGAATGTCTAGGTCAAATAATGTGATTCCATCACAACCTTCCAAATGCAATAGGTTTCTCTTTTGTGTTTCACAGTACTTTTTTTTTTTATTCCTGTACCTTAACTACAGTAGTTACCAACTGTTTTCTATGAACTGAGTGTTTCAATTCATTATTTGACATACTGCCTCTACAAGATGGGGGCTAAGGAATATAACGAGTCCTCAATAATCTTGCTGGATCAACCATTAAGGTACTGTGTACTGTTTTTTTTGTTGTTGTTGTTGTTGCTGTTATTTCTAATGCTTAAACTAATAGACAAAAGTGCCAATGAAGAAACAATTAATTTGAACTGAGGTGCAGAGATATGGGTGGTAGAAAATGTGAAGCTATGTGATATCTTCCTCGAGGTTGATAGCATTCTATCAATACTAATGACAATCCTATAATGGAATGAGTGTGTTTTGACCATAAATGTATCATAAAAATAAAAAATAATACTGGCCCAAAAGATACAGGGATAAGATTTAATTTGATCAAGCCATATGGTGGTACACACACCATAATCCCAACACTTGGGAGGTAGAGGCAGGAGAATCTCTGTGAGTATCAGGCCAACCTGGTTTACACAAAAAGCTCAAGAAAGTAGAGTGGGAGGAGGGAGAGGAAGAATTGCTATTATTAATTTATCATTCAAAGCTACAAAGTCAAACACTCATTCAGTTCCCTGAAGTGAGGGAGGAAAAGAAGTCAATGGGCTAGAGACATTACTCAGCAGTTAAGAGCACAGACTATTCCTCTAAGAACCAGGGTTCAATTTTCAGCACCCACCCTGTAGCTCACCACATCTGTAACTCTCACTCCAGGAGATCAAATACCCTGTTCTGTCCTTTCTGGACACGCAGGTGATACATAGGCATACATAAAATAAAACGAAATTTAAAAAGAAAGGAAGAAAGAAATCAGCAAAACATAAAACACTACCTGCAGGAAATAACTATGGAAAAGACAGAGAGACAGACCTACCAATGTTTGGGTATAGGCAATTGGGAAGTATTGGACACAGGTGTGGAGAGCTGCCGCAGCTGCTGTTTCATCTGTCTGTATCCTGAGATCCAACCTCACCTGTCTAGCTCTTCCCAATACCAACCACGACAAAACATGTGCAGTACTCAATGTGCACAAAGAACCATGAGCATCGCCTTCTGCAGCTGTGCCCATCTTGAGTACAGTAACTCCCATCTTGCAAAGTGTCTTGTTCTATGACCATATGAACCAGTTTTATGGATTAATGAATTTCTCCCAAATACACTGAAAGATTTTTGGAAAATAAGTAATTTGTATATTACTATGGTTAAAATGAAATTGTACAAGAGTAGCAGCAAGCCCAATGCAGTTAGACAGAAACTAGGCCATGGGGGGGGGGGTGTGGAGATACCTGTAGACATTTAAGCAACAAAGACCCAAGCAATACACTGTCAGAAGAGTAACAAACAAGGTCAGGGACAAAGGAGGACATCATCTTCAAGCTAGGTTAAGACTGTGAAACTTGCTAAACCCAAACCTTTCCTTGATGCATTGCACCCACTTGCTGTAAAGTAAGCAATTCTGTATTTCCCTATATACCACTGTGGACTTTGATTCCTTCTTACTTCTAAAAAGAGATTTCTTAGGGTCTCCAGAACATCCACAGCATAAAACCTAACTTTTGTAAGTGAATAATACTTACATCCTTTTTTCTATGTTTTGTTTTTCTCCCTTACATAACTCTTCAGGGCCAATCCTTGGTCACATTAGTCCATCTTTAGTCCATCCTCCACATTCTCCATGGATCTCAACTGTATAATAGGGACAACTGGAGTTCCTTTCCTCAGCATGAAACAAAAGACCCCAAAAGAAACTAGCTTAAGGGGTCAGTTACACATGAAAGGAAAAAACTAAGGAAACAGCTTAGGATACAATAGTGCCAGTGTTGACACTACCATGGATACATGAGGGTTTCACTGGATTTGTCTGTTTCTGTGGACATTTAGAAATTTCCTTCAGAATTTTTTTCTGTTTTGTTTTTTCGAGACAGGATTTCTCTGTGTAGCTTTGTAGACCACGCTGTCCTCGAACTTACAGAGAGCCACCTGCCTCTGTCTCCCAAGTGCTGGGATTAAAGGCGTGCACCACCACCACCCAGCCTTCAAAATTTTTAGTTGAAATATTACATTGGCAAAACACCAATATAATTACCTTTTGAAGACAAGTCCTCTAATAATCACACTAAAGCATTTTAGTATATTTAGAGGACAATGTAATCCACTTACTAACTTGTTATATATTTCAGTTACTTCATCATTCCCAGAAAGCAAATTCACCAAATATGCAGATGCTACTGGCACGTCTGTAACACAGAGTCAATATGCTGGACCCAGAAGAGCTTCACTGAGAGAAAACTCGTTCACAGTGTGAAATCACAATAGGTCTTGTGATCTCAGCTGCAAGTGGTAGATGCATTCACACTCCAACTGCAACTCATGTTAAGAGCCAAAGATTCCTAGACTCTAGGATTTTAAATTTCATATTTACACAAACATCAATTGCTTCTCAGGTGTAGAATACTTCAGACTATCTGAAAAAAAATGGTTCAGGAATTTTATATACACCATTTCTACTTGTCAATTTTAAATTAACCATGTAATAAATACCTTACAAATATTATTGCAACCCTGAATATTACCTACAAAGAAGCTGATGTAGTGGCTCATGGCTATAAGATGACTATAAGCCTAGCTCTCAGAAGGCTGGGGCGGGAGGACTTCAGAGACTTTGAATCCAATCAAGGATACAGAATGTACATAATGATCTCTAGGACAATCTAAGCTACAGTAAGACTACACACACAGACACATAAACACACAGAGTTTGAGAAACTTTCACAGATGAGAGATCCAAGGAATCACTGTAGACTACTATATAGGATTCCAAAGCAGAAAAAGGACACAAAAGAACTATCAATACCAATACTTTATGAAATTTCTTTTCTCTCTCTTTTACACTACTTTGACATGTAAAACTAAGGATATATCTAATGTGCACAACTTGAGTTTGCAGATAATCACCAATTCCACTTTGAGCACCCATTCAGGCTGCAGATACACCCATCATTTCTAGTATTTTTATCATCCCCTTTATCATCAATGTGGAGTGTGTGTAAGAACATTCAACGTAAGATCCACCATCTTGGAAAACCATATGGAAATACTATATAGCATTGCTCATTATAAACACTGTGCTAGAAAACTAATTTCTAGCACTAATTTACCTGTGTAATGGAAATTCTATTTCCCATATTCCATCCTTAGTACCTGTCAACCCCCATTCTACTCTGTGCTTCGATGAACTTCACTATTGAGAGCCCACATGTGACATCATAGAGTAGAATTTCACTATCGGTAAAATACCAATGTTGGTGCATAAGTATCTGACAAATCTTTATACTGAATAAATACGCCAAAACAAAGGGCACAGGGTACACACGTGCAAGATTCTACACTAGTCTTCCAACTTTTTCACAATCTTAAAATTATTCTAAAATTTCTACTTTTTCTTTAAAAGTATTCAATCAAATTAGAAATCAAAGAGACATGGGGGCCTCTACTGAGAGGAAGGAGAGTCTCAGAAACAATACTGAAAGCAAGAGACAGTCTCCAAAAACACACAGCCAAGAGTGCTCCTCTTGGACCACAAAGATGAGACATTTCAGCCACCCTGTAAGACCTTAACATTTATTTGTTTTCCTATATTATTTCCCTTATAAACCTCCATAATTTCTCTCAAAAAATAAAAGAGAAACCATCCAAACAAAACAAAAACTATTGTTTGAAGGCTACTAAGGAGTATGCATTATAACAACAATCACATAGGTTAAAACATGATTTTCTCAGTTGTGTCTGATGGGAGCAACCTCGGGTACACAGCCCACATACTTGCCTCTGAGGTGGAGAGTGCTTTCACAGCATTCAGATCAGATCCTGAGCAAAAAGTATTTTTTGCACCACGGACAATGAGGCCTTTCCCTTCTGTCCAATTTTCCAATTCAATTACCCTTTCCAAAAGTTGTAGCATCATGACACCTACCAGAGGAGAGTAAAAATATGAACACATGTAAGAGACTGATAAAAACAGAAATAGCAAAGTTCCAGCAAGACTACCAGGACATATACTTTACAAATATCTACAGTGTATTTACCAAATGCCTATTGCACTAATACAATGGAATACACAAACAAGGCATATAAAACAGCCCCTGCCTTATAATTTTAAATTCATTAACCTATGTATCTTAAGAAATCAAACAAATATATTTAGAAAGAAAAATAAGAATATATCATGTATGTCCTAGACATAGAAAAATTGGGATATGTAATATTGGATACAGTGATAAGCACAAATTACTTCTTATGGTAAAGATAGCAAATGCATGTTAATTGTCTCAGTGAACAAGCTTAGCAAGTTTTATAAACATAAGATGACTGTGAGATTATATAATGAATAGGCTATAAAATACAGGACAAAGTGAGTCTAACTCTCTTCCTAGCAAAACTAACAAGATTTTACTTAGGTTAGGAAAGGGTAATAAATACATAATAAATGCCGTGGTTGACAAACTAACATGCCTAAGGCACAGTCAAGGCAAGGATTTACATATTAGATCATCATGGTGATATGATTACAAAATTCTACAAAAGCTTCCTTTAACAATAAATTTAAAATTGGAAACCACAGAGAATGACATTTGAAGTTGTAATGAATAATCTGTATCTATGCACATCTTTGGGTATCTTCCAAGGTCATAATATCCTTAATATCCTAGGTAAAGACAAACAAAATTAGAAGCCAAAGTAAAGATCATAACTGAAAGTTAAAACTTCCAGAGTACTCACTGATTCCAAGCCTTACTGCATGGATCCCATTAAAAAATACAGACTTAGTTTTGGAGAAAAAAAAAATTCCACAAGGTCAATAATCACTACTCTGCCATTTTTAAAGTAACCAATGGGATGGGGCTCTACAGTAAATGTTAGATCAATGCTATGTACTCACAAATAACTAATAAAATAATCCTTTCTAATTATGATCTACTTAAAATGGAAACTTTTCAAGAATATCCTTCGTGCTTGAACAATGCCATTGCATGCAAATTATTAATAGTTTGGGAGAAACCAAAGATCCACACATTTAGTGTAAATAAATCAATATGTACAAATATACATCTTCAATCACACATAATATTTAAGTGCCTAAACAGTAACAGTAGCCATAAATATAAAGAACTATACTACTAGTGAATTTTAAACTCACTCTTTTGACTTAGTGCAGTAAACCTTAAGAGCTAGAGGAGACCTTACACACTAAAGGGCCTTGGAGTATCTGCTTTGACTATTTTTAAGCAAAGACTCATCTCTCTACCCAAGCTAACAAAACACCATTACTTAAAAACATCTCTGCTTTTATTTGTTTTGCAAATTATACATCAAACTAATACTACCTACATAATTGAATATATAAAGCTAGTACCATTAGTTTCATGTAAATTTTGAACACTTGAAATGTGAGTGGTTAATTTCAAGTGAACAAAATATAACGGATTTCAAAGACATTGGAGCCTATCCTGGCACTCGCTCTGTAGACCAGGGTGACCTCAAACTCACAGAGATCCACCTGCCTCTGCCTCCTGAGTGCTAGGATTAAAGTTGTGCGCCACCAACACCGGCTCTTTAAGAATATTTGGATTATGTTTGATACATAGAACCAAAAGCTTAGACTGCCTTATCAAAACTTAGTTTCTAAGCTAGCTGAATTAACACAGAACAAAGTAAACAAATCTAATGCCACAAAAATTCCTTATTAGGGAAATTTTCATTTTCATTTATGGGGTTAAAAAATACTTTACAAAAATACATACAGTGACTGTGTGGAATCTGTGATAATTACATTTCTCTCTATGATGTAAAAATTCCTGACAAGAAACAAATTAAGGAAGGAATCATTTTTCTAGCTCACAGTATACAAGGGTGCACGCCATCATGGCAAGGAAGGTATGGCATGAGGATTATGAGGGTGCATTCCATCACAGTGAAGAAGGCATGGCATCAGAGGTGGAAGGGCAGCTCTATTTTGTTTTGCCTTCTAAATGATGGCTGATAGAATATTTACCATTACACACGAATCTCATTTTACCAAGATTTGTACTCATGACTTAAAAAAATATGCATAATTAACAAAAATATTTCTGGTTCACATTATAGGAAATTACTTCTGTGTATATATATTCCACAAGGGATACCAAGACTTTCAAGAATTGTTTTCACCAGAGCAAGGCCAGGAAAACTACATTAGCAGGCTATGACTTAGTGTCCTTCTTTATCTGGAGAAGGAGGACCTCTCTTACCTGAGAAGGCATTCATTTTGTTGGGGTTGTTCAGAGTGAGAATGCCAATGCCATTCTGATTCTTCTGAAGGTCAACGGACCCACCAGGAAACTGCTCCAGTATCTTTTTCACTTCCTCCTCGTGGAAGCCATGAGATGTATTATAAAGCGACACCCCTGTTTGTAATAGTTTTGTCCTTGCAGACAGAGATGTAGTCAAAAGACTTTTTGCCATTTCTAGAAAAGAAAGAAGTATGCAGTTGCCTAATAAAGAGAATCATTTTTCTTTTTCTACTATTATGTCTGGATATAATAATAGGACTTCCTCTTGAATTGTAAAAACCTTTCCAATGAAGGTAAGCTCCATTATAAAAAAAAATAAAAAATAAAAATAAAAGACATGGTCAGGTTAAATAGGCCAGGCTAGCCTACAACTCATTTTCCTTCAAGGTTACAGCTTTCACAAGTGTTGGCCCATGATGGGGTGGGCTTTCAATAATGCCTTTGAGTCATTCCTGCTCCTGTAAGTAAATGCACCAGTTCACCAAGGTGGAATTTAAAGGACTGTTACAGTGGTCTGTCATTGGTTCTCAGTTTGGACTGAACAGACGTTTGTGTTGTATCTTCCCCAGCAACAGTGTCTTGCAACACTGTGTGTGTATGTGCACTTTTTATTGACTATTACAGATTTTTTATTCCACTGCCCACAGGTTTCCTAAAGTCTGTAAGATGACAAATCTCACATTCATAGCTCTGATCCAGGCCTCATTTATAGCTGGATGTGCCTATCATTTAGTTGGGATATTTTGAAATTGAGATTTTTTTTATTAACGCCTCTCTACTAACAAAAGAATTATGTCCAAAGCTTTCCTTGATTTGGCCATTACTTAAAACTTGCATCTCTTCTCTCATGATCACTCCTCATATATACATACATAAATACATATGTACATACATATATATATACATACATATATACATGGACCCAAATAATTAGAGTTTCACAAATATAATATGCTTTATTATCCCCCCACCCCTGCCAATTATTTTTTCTCCTTTTTTTGACCTGGTTCTTCAAAGACAGAATTCTAAGTTTCCACCTAAAAGTGATTACTAATATTATCCCATGTTAGCATGTTACACATATCAGTAATTTTCCCGATTCCTCTCACAAGGCAAATAGCTGTTATAGGTTAGGACTAATATATTCTTTTAGAGGTAATTTGCCAGTAAATAGCAAAAAAAAAAAAAAAAAAAAAAAAAAAAAAAAAAAAAAAAAGCTAACTTAATTGAGGGAACCCAGTCAACACCTGTCTCATTCTACTCATTCCCATCACCAGAGAAAGACTGAATGTAAGCTCTCTGTAGGAGCAACAAAGTGTGCCTGCTCCTACTGGTACTGCTTTTTTGACTTTCCATTTCCATTCTCCTTCATTCTGTCTCCACTGGACAGTCTCATCCCCCACAATACCCTTCATATTTTGGGGAAAGACACCGGGAGCTAGCCACCTTTACTCACTCACATTAAGAAGACCACAAGGAGCAGGGGTCACACTTCTGCTGGATTTGCTTCTGGTACAGAAAAACACAAGCTTTCAAGATCACAAACTCAATTGAAAAGTTGAGTGTCCTCCATAGCCAGAAGGAAACCTAATGAGTTTGTCACCTTTACATGGGCTGCGTGTGCTCTGTGAAGGTTTGGTTTGCTCCTGAGTATGATCCAGTATGAAGAGATGACTAAGAAATTAATTTGGAGCAAAAGTTCTGATCTCCCCCACAGTGTTCATAACGCCAAATGAAGATGCTAAGAAAACCTGATTAGGATTTAGATGGCTATTTAAATAATTTATCTGTTTTTTTAATAATGCTTTGTTTAGGAAAAGAACAAGAAATTAATGTATAAAATACAAGAGTAGAGGCTTAAAAATCATTGGCATTTTAATTGCTAATATACATTAGTAGACTCAGTTTTTTGTTTGCTTGTTTGCTTTTTAAGGGATCTGCCTACTTTATGTAGTTATACTGTCTCCTTCTCCAACATCTGTCGACTCCAGCATTATTGCTGCTACCAGATCATGCCTCCTTACCATCAAATCACTGAACACTTAACATATTTACGTAATGAATTGCTTTGTGTCCTTAACCTTGATTGTGAAATGGACACTTTCCCAAGAAAGGCTTCTACTATGATACATACCCATTCTACTAATTCCAAATCATCTTTTCTTCTTCCTGCATTCTGTGCCTCTCCCAATACAGACCCTTGTTTTTCTGTACTTCTTGTAGATTCCTTGTCTGTCCCAGAGTAATTCAAAGTACAGCTTAAGCGTGTTAGACTCACTGACCCAAACTTTGGGACTCCAATTCTAGCAATTTGATAATAGCTTGCTGTTCACAAACTAAAGTACACAGTGGTCTGGGCTGGACAGATGGCTCAATGGTTACAATTGTTTTCCCCCACTTCAGAGAACCTGAGTTTGGTTCCCAGGTAACTCCTGCTCCAGGAGACCCAGCCCTCTTCTGAACCTCCACTCTGTGCACATAACCTGGCCACTCCCCCATACACTTAATTAAAAATAAATCACTTTTAAAGATACATGATGGCTGTGCTGCTAAGATGGTAAGATATCAGACATTAGTAAATTAGCATAATATCTGAAAATACAATTTAAAAAGAGCTTAAGATTCAGGTGCTGCTATAGACTAGACACACGTAACAACCCATATTTGCTTTTCTCCTGGGAACACAAAGCAATGAAAAGGTTCTGGGGCAGTTAAAATTTTATAAAACCTTCTTCAGCGCAAAAAAAAAAAAATTTTTCCCCAAACTGTGTCATTTGGGTAGGGTTGCTTTGCTGTCCTACCAGGAACAGATCGTTCCAGCTGAGAAAGCTTTCTGCCAAACCACTGGGTAGCTGGAAAGGATCCCCCTCTGGCCATCTGGGACCTAGGGTTTTCCTCTCCAATTCTTACGTTAGTTTTTCCATTAAAAGTCGTTTTCTATCTAACACCACACTGGAATCATTAACTAGTGTCAGAAAATTAACATAATTCCACATTTAAGGAAGAAACTAAACAATGAGAAATCAGAAGGTACTTTAGACTGAAATATAGATCCCGTTTCTCAGGTTTTCAATTTTATACTCCTTAACTCTCAAGTTCCAGTACATGCCTTCCTACACACAACCAAGAAAGTAACTTTCATTTCCTCAAACCCTGTTTTCTGTCATCCCAAATTTTAGCACAGGTCTTCGTCTTCCAGACAGTAATTCCAAGTCATCCTCTCTAACTCTCTAGTTAAAACCCCATCTCCACCATTAATATTCGCGGTCGCATAAAACACTATCGTAACTACTTCTTTTGACAAGTTTTCCTGCTAAATTTAGTTGTCAAGAGGGCATCTGGGGTGCCTGGAAAACAATAATTTCCAACCATTTTCTTAAAACAAAATTCGTAGGCCTTCAGGACCCGAGCACAGCTAACTCACCATCTATCTGGTTCGTTTGTCTAACTCACCCTGCTGCAACTCGGTCTCTCCACAAGCCGGTTTGCCTTTCTGGAATGACAATCGCTGCTCTGTGCGCCCCAGCTGACCATTAGCTTAACGGCTGTCAATTAATAGTCCAATAAGGTGTCCCAAAACAAAACAAAACCAACCCGTTTTGCTTTCATGCGCTTCTTCCTCCACCCCTGAGATTTCACAATTCTGCCAGTGCCCCCAGGAGAGTGGTGTTTCTCCACACCAATTCTTCGATTAGACTTGCTCCTATCTCTAAATCTGTAGCACCCAGAACAGAGGTAACACGTTACAGAATCGGACGTGAAAGTTGGGAATGAGAAGTACCGACTTTTACGTCCTCCACAGAGCCTTTCCAGGTAATAACTCCTCTCGGGGATTTGGACAAAAGTGGGGAGGGTTTAAATGCCTTGAGTACCACCCACCAAAGTTGAATTGCTCCACTTTCGTAGTTTAAAAAAAAAAAAATGGCTTCACGAAACGAATATGTAGGCAGTGTTTAAAATAAGCAAGATAATTAAGTTTACCAGTAGACATTATAGACATCCAACTGAACATCACCTAGGTTCTCACGGGGATCCCAAAACACCCAGAAATCAACTCAGAAAGTTGGACTCCAGTCCCCTGGGAAACTGCTCGTGTCGCTCTTTTCCCACGACCTCTGCAGCACGCCAGGAATCCTCCCAGAGACCTCCAGAAGCTCTCCACCCCCCCTCAGCCGCGCCTGCACT